TCCAAAAATAATACATTTACATCATCACAATTCACAAATACGAACTGCGATTATAGGTATAGCCTAACAATCCGCACGGCGTGACATATTACTGTATCAATGCTTATATCGACTTAAGAGTGCAGTGTTGTAGTTCCGACGAAAGCCTTCAAAAAACTAGTTGTATGATAGTCATGTAAGTGTGTCAGTCGACAGCTGGCACATTTAAAGTATTTAAGTATCATTTATAAACATTCGTACGTCTAAGCCTGCCAAAACATCGATGATAAATCTTGCTTTCATATAGGAATTTAAAAGTAAACATCCCACCAAGCAATGTGTAAACTTTCTCCTAGAGCACCTCCTAGGATTCAAGTCTTCATTTCCGCACATCTGTTTGTTATATTTCCGGCGAATCTTTGCCGCTTTCAAAATTTGAGAGGTAAGTTTTTGTCGCGGCGTTGGTCATATTCTTTCCTTTTTTAAGAGTACGCGTGTTTATTCTGTGGCGCAGCACAGAACTAAATCATTTAATCTTTTAGTAATTTCCTAAAATTTTAATATACAATCAATATTTTGAATAATAAATTATAAGAATTCGAGGGTTTGAATTGGGCGTTCTGTATAAAGATTCAATTCAAGAAGCTGAAATTCTAAGCCTCTAGGCAAACAAACAATTGAATTAGACACATACATTCTCTGTTTATACATCGACTCTAATATTGTCTGTTTCTAAAATCTTTCCCACGCGGAACAATTTAAAAGTTGGCTTATTAAAAGTTGACAACCTTTAATTCTCAGTCAAACCAAAGCGCGTTTACAAGATTGAAGATTGTTGAAGTTGACAACCAAACGAGTCTATTCGTATTACTGTATGTGTCATCGCCATTCAGAAAACGTGCAATATTTTTCTTGCAAAAAAAATCTCCGTGTCTAGTCCAAGTTTCATAAACCGTGTTTATCAGAGAACTAACTAAAGATACAGCGTTGTCTTTCTTTCAAAGCATGCAGTTGAGACTGAAATGACCCTGAATCTTGATAGCAACAAGCAATATTTATGAACCTGGAATCATTATTCATTAAAAATTAAACATACATTCGTGTGAGTTGACCTGCGTATATACAAGGAAATTTAAACCTAGCGTAATATTTAAATTTTAATATAAAATATGCACCAATTAATGCAAGTGTATTAGAGGTAACCTGCAAAGATGAAATCCACCCAGCAAAAACATGAACACTGAGGCCCCGTCCACACGATGCGGGAAAAATTTGAAAACGTAACGCAAGAATATTCTTACGGTTACGCGTACCGTCCACATTATGGGGCAGCCAAAAAAGATTTGAGCAACTTTGGTGAAAAATTACAAATGTGGTCGCACTTGGCTAGTTACCAGACTGCATTGTGACGTCATGTTAAAATTTTTTAAACGTTAGAAAACGTAACTTTCGTTGCGGAAATTCGTAAATTTTATTGGCCTCAGTATGAAGTTTGTTGTTAATAACTCAGTCAATATATGTCCTAGTGATTATTAAAAATTGCCGCTTACTGTATCCTTATAGTTCATGCATTAGACTGAACTACACAATACCCAATGGACATGGAAAGAAATAATACTACACAAATACATAAATAGCAAAACAAATCAATTTCATTTCTTGATTAATTGTTCTTCGCCCTATACCTTAAAAGCTATTTAATAGCAGCGTTTCAACAATTCACGGAAACGTGCACGATGCGTAACCTGCGCATCGTTTGGTATATTTCAAACTAAATGTTTTGTTCGTATTCTTATTAAGGTTGAGTATTATTTTATGCTATTGTTTGTGTTTGTCTTTAAGCCTCGTGGACACTGGTGTGCTTAACGCGCACACATAACAATTTTCACGTGCCCATTTTACGGGGAAAAAATTGAGATATTCTTCCATTTGTGTGTTTGTGTCGTAAAATTAAGCACGAACGACAAAATATGTCAATACTACTCCCAGACTAGGAAATTGCCGCGAGTGATAAGTGTGCAATGTTGACAAGTGTGCGCCAGGCTTAATACTGCATGTCATACTTCAATAATGGTAAATGAATAGGGAGCTTTAGCAGTGACTACGAGTACGACTACGAGTACGAGATTCGTCATTCTCGCGCGTTGTTTGCTTACGCCATCAGCAAAAACTCGTAGTCGTTGGGCTTTCGAGTACGAAATTTATCAAAAAACTCGTACTCAAAAGCCCAACGACTACGAGTTTTGGCTGATGGCGTAAGCAATTAACGCGCGAGGATGACGAATTTCGTAGTCTCGTACTCGTACTCGTAGTCACTGCTAAAGCTCTCTATTATCACCTTCCAGTGGATACGTTGTTTAGCCTTTGTAAAGATTTCAATTTTTTTATATTCTATTTCTCCATGCCAAGGAATGCATTCTCAGCTGTTTGGTTCATCCTAATGCTTTATGATTTGTCGTTGTATTTGTCGAGATATTTCCCTCGTAACACATTCGGTCCACGTGGTATCACTGAAAACCATTTACACAAAATATCATTAGATATATGTAGCCCTACCTGGGGTTTTCTAACGAAACCCATCTAGTATTAACACCCATTTGTTGCAGTAAAACTTCGTGCAATCTCATGGCTTCTGACGAACTGCAAGAAAAGGCAAATTTTTACAATGTGAAATTATGCAGACTGTTTTCAGAATAACTTTAATTGTATATTTACTAAAACTATCAGCTGGTAAAGCATTCTAACCCATATAGCTAAATAAAGCGCCAGTTCTCGTCAGATAAAACAAACGAAAGATAAGCTCTCTGCAATATCAACTTATGCAAATTATAGTGTTTTTGATACACCCTGTATGCATGACTTGAGTTCATTAAATAACCAGCAGGATACCATCAGAGTGTTTGGTGTATTCTTGTTCGCTAGGTTTGTGTACATTTCTTAGCGTCTGTTTGGTTTATTTCTGACTTAAATCTCGCTGAATTATGGCGACGTAGTTGGATTATTGTTCCCAAGAAGTGATAAAGGTATGTTCTTGTCTCTTTCTTGAAGATTATAAATCATTTTACTTCGTCAACAGCAAAGTATGCTAGGCACGGCACAGCGCTGCGGCGTCATGTTGAAACGTTTAGTAAAACCTTGAATAAAATCCAAAATCTTGCTCCGAAATATACTTTATTTGTCTTACTATATCATATCATGTTGGTTGTCAATAATTAACCGATTGGCTTCTGCAAATTTGTCTTTTATAACTGTAGTAAAAGTGAATTGTTGTTAGTGCTCAGATATTGGGTCATAGTGCGTCATTTATGGTAGTAATTGGCACATTTATATTTGCTTTATCTGAGGACCATATCAACCATTTCAACCATCGTTCTGTTTTATGTCACTAGTTTCAAATTGTTTATTTCACTTTCAAATTGACTCCAGTTAGCTTTCGCTAATTCTTCGACGACTGCGACAATCAATTATAAGCAGAAGACAGCATCTTCGAATCGTTTTTCAGCTCATTGTTGTCTTTAGAAGTTCATTTCAGCTGATATTTATATTGGAGCAGCAATAACCTAATATTAACAAACATATAATTTAAGTTGGAACGGAAATATCTAAAAAACTACCGATAAATATTGAATGAAAAGTATTTCACATGAAATTATTTGATCATCGAGCACTAGAAAGTGTTGGGATCATCAGCAAGTATCATTTACTCATGTGAGATTTTCGAGTGTCAACGTTCCTCTTAAAAATGCATGTGTTAATATGTTTGTATGGATGCATTGATATTATTGACGATGTTTAATTAGTTTTGAATTGGTTTTTTCAGTAAAATATCGTTAGTTTATATTTAAAGTACTTGGGGTTGAAATCGATGTTTGAAGTCAACGTTAGTTGTGGTTTTACCAGCTTTCAAAATATATATCAAAGATCTCGACACAAGATGAGATCAGTAGCTAATACGAAGTAATTACGCGCATTAGGCCGATGCATTTAACACCACGGGTATTTTACAACATTGAGTTGAACAATTTAACCAGCAGGATACCATCAGAGTGTTTGGTTTATTCTTGTCTGCTGGATTTCTGAACATTTCTTTGCGTTGATCATATTATTTGTGGCCTAAATCTGTGGAATTATGTCTACGTCGTGAATTATCAGATTTCGTAGCCATAGGTACGTTTTTGTCTCTTTCTTGAAGTTTGTGAATAATTTTATATCGTCAACATGCAGCGGAAGTATGCTAGGCCCGGCACAGCACTGTGGCGTGATATTATAACGTTCAGCAAAACCTTGAATAAAATCAGTCGTAAATTTCTTTTCTAATATCCTTCATTCGTCTCACTATAACATATCTGGTTGGTTTTCAATAATTGACAATTTCGCTTTTGCAAATTATTTTTCGTGACCGTAATAATATTGACATAAAGGCAGTGGAATTACGTCATGGTGCGTAATGAATATGCCAAATTTATCTTTCATATGTTTCATCTGACGAGAACTAGCGCTTTGAATAGAACTTCATGTTTTAACAATGATCCTGTTTTTTCATTCTGACCAACTAGATTCTTATACAAGTCTCAGCTTATTCTGCTATCAAATTGTTCCTTTTCTTCTGCGGAGGCGTTCAACCAAGAAATTATAGTCTGTTTATATTACAATAACACAAGTCTTTGAAAAGCCTAAAAAAGCTAAAAGTATATATCTGCTTTGAAATGAATAGCTTTTGCAAAGAAATCCTGCAAATTGGAAGCAATAAAACGACTCGATTGACAACTATCACACGAAGTAAGCTTTAGGTCGACAAATTAAATAACCACGCCACAGCGCTCTGGCGTCGTATTAAAAGTTTCAAACCGGCTCTGTTAGATATCTTAAGTTTTCTCATCTCACGCATTGTTGGTTTCTAAAGCCACGTATTAACTTGCTGGACAATTACTAACCAGACCATCGTGTTTAACAAATAAGCTGTCAAGTAACTTTATCTTAAGTTGTGTGGAATTACATCATGATGTGGTTTCTTTTAGAAATAAGAACTTTTATCGTGTGAAGAAAAATATCTTATTCAAGTTGTCATCTTTAATGATCGTTTATGGTGGTTCGTTTAATCAAGTCGAAGGTAGGAAAGTAAGAAATTGTTAAAGGCTGTTGGTATTTAAAGAGAAGATGTAATATGTGAATTGAAAGAATCTTTGCAATACTTCATCTCGCTATATATAGTCCAATACGAGATGAAATCAGTAGAATGGAATATTTACAAAAAGCATTCGACGACGCAACTTCGCATCCCTCTTCCCTGGCTGAAATTATAAAGCTATGCACATACCCAAGCTCAATAAATAACCAGCAGGATAGAATAAAGTGATGGGTTTTTTTTATCCCCAAGAATTGTGTACATTTCTGAGCATCTGTCAGTACATTTCTCACTAAATTCTGTAGAATATATATAGACGCTGTAATTGAATTGTTGCCTCAAGATTTAAAAAGTATAAATTACAGTCACTTCAAAAGATTATAAATTGTTGCCCGACACAGTGTTGTATCATTCTGTTAAGACGTTACTTTAAACAATGTCGCAAATTGCGTTACTTTTATTTCCCCACCTGCCTATGACAGATGATGTTGGTAGTTAAAAAATGGCGTGTTTTATTTGGTATTTGAATCGGATTTGAGTGAGTGTCAGCCTGGAATATTCTTTGAACATGAGTGAGCAAATGATACGAAGTCAGTTCACGTGTTTCTAGCAATCACAAAGCCAGCACATATAGTGAACAATCAATTCATTGAGATTAGTGTGTCGATTTCTGAGTTGGGTCAGTGTGACCAGATCTGGTATATTTTTTACCACATCCGGACGGATGCATAGACATGCAGCCCCACTTGATTTTAATAATTACCACATTTAGAGGCAAGCCCCGTAAGTGAGATACATTTTTTCGTATATTGAGACCGCGGGCTGGCCCGTTTGGCGAGTTTACGTTTTAAGTTTTGTATTCCAGCAAACAATCAATTACTTGATGCTCTACCATATCCGCCTGCCATTTAAAGTTCTTTCGTTTGGGTTTTTGGACTGTATTCACTTTTTCGGCGACTACTGAAGACACAGAAGCTTCACAGGTTTCGGCCGTTTTGAAAAACCACATGAAAACGTACATGATGCGCATGTGTACATTACGTATTTTCATCCTGGCAACCGGACCAGTCCGCTTGCGTGTGCTGACATGGAGAAAATCTTTATCTCGGTAAGCGAGATCTCGCTTGTTCAAAGCCGCTCGCTTGTTGGCCATATAAACGCAAAACATTTTTTCTATAAAATCTACAATGTAATGAGATCCCGCTTACACTGGTGATAAGGCTAGCCCGGTCTCCATATAAACAGCCCCTTAGACCGGTCAAACTAGATTGAAAGCAAAAAAAATCAATGCCATTTCTTGACTAAAAGTTTTGACCCCACGACCACGTGTTTTTTTACGAAATCATTTCCACAAAGGGAATCCTTTGGTATAAACTTAGTTTAAGTTCCATCCGATTGTCTATGCACGATGATCAGATAATGTGGTTGTATATATGAAGAATATTATCAAGTTAAAGATGAGAAAAATCATGATCAATTCAGTAATATGAATTTCTATTTGATTATCTAAGATATATAGCCTAATTAAATTTCACCTAATTCTCTTTCTGGGTGTGCCCTATATAAATAAAAAAACTATTGTGAAATTTTGTTACAGTAATTAACCCTGCCCAATGCCATGGCTTCTGTTGATCTGCAAGAAAAGGCAAATTTTACAAGACTCAGTAGACTTTTGGTTGACAAAGGAACTGAGGCTTTGAGAAATACATTTGATACCATCCATCCACCTGCCAGTCTACCTGGAGTACTAACTGCAAACAAAACATCTCTTCAAAAGTTAAAACCTCGAAATATTAATAATTCCCAATGGGATTTACTGTTTCCTCCGTCTGGCAACCCGCCAGATTCCAAAACCTTTGATGTCACATTACTTACAGTTCTATTCCGGAACATTTGTGGTTTTCCATCAACAGGATGGAGTGTAATGCCTCCGGATACTGATAGGTCAACGCAAGCGAATGTCACAAGAATCAAGTGTTACAGAAATGAAGTCTACGCACATGTAATTACAACTCGAGTTGACAATTCAAAATTTGAGTCTTTATGGAAGAAAATCTCCCAGGCGATAGTAAAATTGGACGTTTCACAGAGTGATGTCGACGACTTAAAAAAATGTCCTCTTGGGCCTGAAGAAGTAGTGTATGTGCAAAAGCTTAAAGATTGGGAACTGCACGAAGATGAGTGTATTAAATTGCTTAAAGCAATTGAAGCTGGTGTGAATAATGTAACACAAGTCGCTGAAGAGACGCGCGATGCAGTAAATGAAACGCACGATGCAGTAAATGAAACGCGCGATGCAGTAAATGAAACGCACGATGCAGTAAATGAAACGCGCGATGCAGTAAATGAAACGCGCGATGCAGTAAATGAAACGCACGATGCAGTAAATGAAACGTGCGATGTAGTAAATGAAACGCGCGATGCAGTATATGAAATTCGCCAGTCATTGGCCAAGCGTACGCTATCAATACCCGGGGACACATATCCTCAACAAAAATCCCGCGCGGAAAGTGATGAAGATTTATTGCGAAAACTTGCTAAGCATAATTTTAAGGGTAAAATTAAAAAAAAAGTGAATTTTTTCCTTCCTGGAACAAGAGAGTGGTTGTTAGAGAAAGTTAACGAGTGGTTTCAAAAGTGTGACAGCGATTCGAGAATAAAGTTAATAACAGCTGGACCAGGATTTGGTAAAAGCGTTTTTGCCGCTAAAATCTGTGAAGATTTTAAGAAGAATGGAACACTGGCTGCTTGTCACTTTTGTGATTTCAGTGATTCAAACTTAAGAGATCCTATGATGATGCTGCAGTCTCTCGCAAGTCAGATGTGTGAGAATGTCCCTGGTTTTAAAGAGATGCTTCTTGATCAGTTAAAGCGACCTTATCAAGTCCAAAACCTCAAAGATGCCTTCCAAATATATTTGCAAAATCCCTTAGATGAATTGGAAATAAAAGAGCCACGTTTAATCGTGATCGATGGCTTGGATGAAAGTGCAGCAGATAATAAGAATGAAATTACGCATTTGATTGCTGAATATTTTCCTGATCTTCCCGAGTACATCAAAATCTTGGTGACGAGCAGGCCAGAGATTTCCGTTGCTGATCTAAGACTAAGAGATGATCAAAAGACAGACATTTCCAATGTTCATGACAACAATAACTGGGATCTGGAACTTTATTTTAAAGAATGTTTTCCAAGTTTAGTCGGCAGGGAAGTGGATGGAAGTGAGATCAGCGATGATTTCTATAAGGATCATCCATATCTATCATCTCATTACCGCTTTTGGCAAATTAAAACTGTTAGTTTACTTTCCATTTTTGTTGCCAAATGCCAGGGCTCATTTCTCTATGCATATCACTTTCAATCTGGGCTAAGGGCTCGCTATGATCTTGAGAAGATAACAAATAATGACGTCATGGAGTTTCTCCCAGAAGGTCTCCATTCTGTTTACGAACGATATTTTAAACGCCTTGAAGACGAGCTTAACGATATAAAACACGAAAAGTTCGATGTCTTGAATATTTTGGCAATGCTGGTTGCTTCCGAAGAAGATCTTCCCCTCACTTTCGTCGCTCAGGCTTTTGGTTTAGCTCCAGATTGTCGCGAAACGAAAGACATCATCAGCAAAATTAATGAAACCGTATCATGTTTGTTGTACGTTTCAGATGACATGTTAACCGTTTTTCACAAATCCGTTATTGATTGGCTTCTAGCAAAGGGCTACAAAGATCACCAGTATACTGTCAAGGTCGATGATGGACATAAATTGCTTTGGATTTTATGCGAAAAGGTTTTTAAAGAAATTAAAGATGAAGGTGTTCGCTCAGGACTTGAGGTGAACTTTACTAATGACGTAAAATATGCTCTGAAACATGGTTTAAAACATCTAGAAAAATGTGAAATGGAAGAAGGTGTCTTCTGGTCAGTTGATTTTATTACCGTCTGTTATATGTTAACTGTAATCGATTCTGGTGATTTGCAGCATTTCTGGTTCACATTACTCCAAAGTTCCTGGATGAAAAATGAAGATTTACGCGCCCGCATTTCGTACCATGTCATTGAATTCGAGTCTTTTGATAATGCCCTGATACCGATAAGGCTATACAAAATTCAAAACAATTTCTTTCGACAGTATTTTCACAATGGTATTCACAAGCGGTTCTTACCCATCCTCCAGAAGGTTATTTCAGCGATGATGAAAAGAAAATCGCGGAGACGCTACTATCAAACGTTTCACCTTTTGTCGAGTCGAATTCTTCCGAAGTTTCGGTTTTGCCACGAGCAGTCTGGGCATGCAGTGGCTCTGCTTTTAATAAAAGGTTTGCTTTATCTAACGATTTGAAAAGTGTAGCATTTGTAATGAATAATTTTATCCATGTGCTATCCCTACCAACTTTAGTTGAAATTATGAGTTATTCAACAAAATTGAAAACAATTCCATGCTGCACATTTTCTCCAGACGATTCGCTCATATTATTTGGAAAACTGGAAACGGCGTTTAACATTGCTGGAAGAAAGGAAGTTTCATTTTTCCCTGGAAATGAAGAGACGTTCCTGTCCTGTGCATTTTCCCCCAACGGCAAAAGACTGGTGACTAGCGACGGTTCAAACACTATTAAACTATGGGACGTTGCTAAACAAAAAATGCTGTCGTCGCTTTGTCCTGGATTTCCTGTTAGTCGGTGTTCTTTTAGCATCACAGGGTTATTTATTATTGCAAATTTAGAATCTTCATCTTATCCGGGTTATTCGTTTTGTGTTTGGAACGCCATCACATTGCAAAGAAGTGATAAGCGAAAATTATCTCACGTGGAAAGGGAGAAACCAGATGTGTTAAAGAGCAGGAAATGTGAACGATGTTTTCAGCGAGGATTTGAGCAACCAAATTTTAAACAATTAGAAATAATAAGGTCAAATGACGAAGATTGTGGAAAAAGTTGTATAATTTTGCGGCCGTGGATCTGCAAAGGTGTGGAGTCTATTTTTTCTTCGGAAGAATTTTGTTATTCGAGTGTCACAGAAAGTATTCCTTTGACTGCAATTGTCGCTTGGAACTATCTTGTTGCTGATCCTCACTTTTCTTTCCGTGCAATCAAAATACCAACTTTAGAAAATAATCTGTGGCTCTATTCAGATAGGAAAAAACTAATTGTCTTTAAGACATTAGCTCCTAAACAAGTGCAATCCTGTCCGTCACAGCCAACGAAAGTTTATTCGAGTTCGTTTTCTCCTGACGGCTCTCGACTTGCATCCTGCAACTCAGATGGATATATCAACGTATGGAATGTCTATACCAGCCAAGTTGAACAACGTTTCAAGAGCAGTCAATGCTGGTCAATGTTTTTATGCTGGTGGTCGGAAGATTACTTGTTTGTGATTAGTGAATTTAACAGGATTCCCAAATTAACGCGATACCCGGTAGATGACAATTTAGAGATCGTGTTTACTCACAGTCAGCACGTGGCGCTAGACGACTTGTCTGATTTCAGTCATTCTAAGCTGATTGGTTTTTCTGAAGGCTTTTTCAGCATGGGTCTCGAAAGAAACGAACCTGTGAAAGTTCTTGATGTCAGAGATGTTGATGGTCCTGTAATGGTCAATTTGCCTGGAATTGAGTCTGAGATGAAAGTGGAAATTTCGCCTGGTGGTGCCTTTATCTCTGGTTGTAATGAGAATAAATGTTATATTTGGAAAAGAAATACCGAAAAACCAACTTCATATGAAGTCTTTTATTACTATGAAGTAAGCGATGAATTCCAATCAGTCGCAGTAAGTTTCAGTAATGACTCCCAAGTCGCAGTAGTCATGGAATTTCGTGATGATAAGAGTCATATAATTGATCTGGACACTGGTGATTCTCAAAATATAATGTCTAATTTCAATTTTTATCATGATTTCACCAGGTCATTTTGTATTCACAAGAGAGGAATTGTATTAACTTTATCTAATGGCCGGATAATATTTTTTGACATGGACTCTGGCGCGATTCTCGACCATTCCTATCAACGATACTTGAAGGCTTATAGGTCAATCCAAAGAATTAAACTTTCCCCAAAAGAGACCATGCTGGCTTTTCCTGACTACAAAGGCGATATGGTGTTTCTTCGACTGTCTATTCCACCAAATCCTTTCTTGGACGATATTAAGCGACGGGCAGTTGCTAAGTTGGACGATATTAGACAACGAGAACTTCCTTCGTTGGACGATATTTAGCGAGATTCAGTAGTGAATCCTTTCTTTAACCCGAATAAATTCGTCTCGCGGAAAAGGTTTTTAGGAAAATTTTCACAAAGCTGTATATTTTCTTAAATGTTTGTTTCCTCGCAAGTTGTTTATACCCATTAAATGAGGATGTCTTTATTCTTAAAAATAACTGAAATGAACCCGTTCACACGAGGACGAAAACCAATAGTAGAAGACTTAGTAGATAAAGACTTTGTTATGAACGACGGATGTTTTGGAATTGATTTTTCAGCTTTGATATTTTATAAGGATTTAGTGAACAATAACATGAAAAACTATCATCAAGAACATTGTTTTCGGGCAGCGGCTAGACTTTGGTTGGAGCTGGTCTAGAATGGAGAAGTAAGACACCTCCTTCCCTCCGTTTGTCTGGGAGTTCACCTTGGGCAAGTGATAGCACTCCCTTGCCTCCCTAACTGGGGTTACAGTTTGTTAAACAAAACAAAGATGATATCTTGAACACATCTGCAAGAAACAAGTCTTTAAACATTGTCATGCACTGATGCCAATGGTGTTGTTCTAGATGTTAATTATAAGGCTGATGCAGTGATGGTGGTGATAGTTCTCATCTATGATGGTGTTGTTTAAGATGTTTATTATGGTAGTTACAGTCATGTTGGTAGTGATAGTTCTCATCTATGATGGTGGTGATGGTGCTGGTCTCTACGATGGTCACGAAAAAGAAGGTCACGAAACAACATAACAATATGTCTTAGGCGTGTTTCAAAAGTCGTGTTTTGGTTTTTAATGCGTTTGACACTTGAGAAGCACGATGTTTAAAACAGGCCTTAAAAAGACCTTGTAGCGTATCTCATTCTTTCCTGTGCACTCACATAATCACTTTGAAACAAAGAAATACGTTATGGTTCGCTACGATACGGTTAAAGAGGAAAACTGGCCTTGGCTCCATTTAAGCACAATACCGGGTTCACTTGTCACAGATATCTTTGTTTGCCTTTTAGGGGAAGTGGTTAGTAGGCTTGTAGCAAATGCTTACTATAGTTTGATAGATTTAGTATATTTATTTCGATATCTGACATTGAATTGTTTTGCTGCCTTTTAAAAGCGGCAAAATTTGACCCACCCCGAAAAGAATCCGGCAAAGTGTGAAATGGGGCCTTGTAGAAAGTGGCTGGCGCACACAAGTACATATCTGCCAGCATTATTGTAATTTGTATAGATTTGTAATTTTGTAAATCGTTAACGGCCGTTTTATTACATATTTCACTCAGTTGCTGAATTTTATCAAGTGAACTACTATCAAGTGTTGAAATACGATATTATGACTTAGAAAGTGTCTGGTGCACACAAGTACATATCTGCTTGATATTTAGTCATAGGCTATTGCCAGCATTTATTGTAATTTGTATAGATTTGTAATAATTTGTAAACCGTTAACCATTTTATTACATATTTCACTCAGTTGTTGAAGTTTCTAATTTTCTATATCTGTGGTTGTTAACGTTCGCAGCATGTAACGCGCAGTCAATGAGTGTAAAAGTTTTCTGGTGTGATATCACCTTTACCAATTATCACCTTTGAGATAATTACACCAAGAACCAGGGTTGCCAGATTGGCTAAATAATTTAGCTGGATCACTATTACCCTCAAGAAAACAGAGGAAACAAAAGATGAGGTATCCGTGCTCAATCTTATTAGTGCCGAAGCTACCAAAACAAAGGCCGGGCACAGCTAAAATGTGCACGGGTACCCCGTACCAATTTTAGCCGTGCCGTGCCAATTAATCTAGTGCAGTGTAAACGGGGCTTAACACAGAAATACTTTTTTTTAAAAGCAAGCTGAAATCGAGAGTAAATACTTTTTTGCCAATCTGTTCACAAGCCATGAACAAGTTAGTTGTCGTGACATGGACTTATAGATCGCAAATTTTATAGGGGAGTGCACGGGGGGGGGGAGCTGACTGCAGCAAGATTTGTCTCTCGAATATCAACGATATTTCACCGATTTTAGCACATTTGTGCGAATTTCGGGTACAAATTCCTCTCGAATTCTTTCCAGTTTAAGGTATTCAGCCCTTCCCTCCCCACCTCATACAATTTTATTAGGTCGCCCCTCTGCTGCATAACAACTGACCTCTATTATAACATGTGATTGAAGCGCGGACGGAATCCTGGTGGGCTGGTACCAAGTATTACGAAAGTGCTCAGATTCTTCCTTTTAACTCTTTTAGTAAAGTTTTTAATTTCGAGTTAGAAAATCCGTCAAAATGACCATATTCTCGATCTAGAAGGTCTCGATTCGTCGCTTTTAACCAGGATATTCATTAATGAGTCATTAGCTCAGTGTTTGAGCAGAAATGAAACGGTTTTTACAAAATTTATCGGGGCCAACAAGTCCGTATGTTGGCAAGACCTACCGCTTTGGACGAGTCGAGTGTATCGTTGAAGACCAGATTGCCGAAGGTATGTGCTTGATTTCCTTGTCAGTTTTCTCTCATATTTCGATATACGTGTGCTACATTACCTAGTTATCTTTAAAGTACAATATATCGTTACCGATCGCTTGGGTATATTGATGTTTTTAAAGTATATTGTGAGTTGTTGATCTATATTAGAATGGCGCAAGTTGAAATTTAATTTAATTATGCATTAATAATGCATTAAATTGTTCTAATTTTGTTGGCTACGAACAAAATCCATCTATGGACGTGTTATAATCGATATCCTACTCGAAAATACCGCGATGGACAGTGCTATAGTTTTGTTTGATGAATTTTGTGTATAAATGTGTTGTTAATGCATATATTCAAATTTTAGTACTGTACAGACCCCAAACTCAAACTTTCAAAATATCATCAGCTCGTGTGACAGTGAAATCAATTTGGAAACCTTTACTTCATAAATTAGATCGAACTTTGGTTCGCATGAGCAGGCTATACATTTGCAAGGTGGTGTGTGTGATCTCATTAATCCCAATCGCTGTTTTCAAATTTGTTATCCTGCCTGCTGAGATAAACTTACCAGAGCTATTACTAATTAATTAAAGTGCAATTATTTTAACAAGTCCTGACAAGTAAAATTGCTCTGTCATTGGGCAGAATTCAACACCAAAGTAGGCTACTTTTCATTGTATTTTTATGGTCACATTGTATTTCCAGCTAAAAGTTAGCGAGGGATATATATGATATATCTTGCTGAGGATTACAAAATGCTTGAAACCCATAATCGTGTTTATGGCCACAAATTTTTTACAATTTAAATTTTAAACCGACAATAAAACATTAAATAGTCTGTTTTAACAATTCAGATGGGCTTTTCTTTTCTAATTAGAAATTTCAATATGTCGAACAAATGTAGGCATATTTGTCACCAGATTTTCAGAATCATTCAGCATGCCATGGTCTTAAGGAAATTTGTATCAGTTTATTAATCGACAGTATTTCCTCACAGACAAGTGAAATATTCTGAGTTGAACATGATATATACTAAAACACACAAACTTAATTGCATTTTCTACTTGCGTTCTTGCTTACCGCAAGTAAACAAGTTGTTTTCTTTCGACATGCTATAGGTGGGTTTTCGCTAGTGTTCCTTGTCAGAGCAAGCAATGGCAGTCACTACGCACTGAAACGAATTTCAGTTAACAATAGAATTATCATATTATTATAGAATTATTAATAGAATAATCAGTTAACAATTGCATTTATTTAAAGTCATGTGACTACGAATGAACCAATCACATTTAAAATACACAGCACCTATATAACAATATATTTTATATCAATGCAAATATCACATGACTAAAAGACTGAGACATATTTTACTAAATTTATAAATAATAATTTCAGTTTTCTAGTTCTATTAATCTTACATCCACATGCCATCACATTTTACACTATGTGCATTTATTGCTATGGTTTCTTTCTCATGTATAATACCAGCTTGTATACAGTTAATTGATAAAAAGTCATCCTCTGGCTATCATGTTAACTATGTATTTAGACTTCACCATCTGTTCCAACCAAAAGTATTTTAACAAATACACTGTACAGTCATTGATCAGTCCATCTAGTAGAACAATATTTGTCAATCACTGAAATAAATTATCTGTCAGTTCAGCAATACTTTAGTTGCAAGTATTTTCATTCATGAGGTTGGAGCTTAATCAGACCCAATGCAATCCCAGCTAATGTTTGACAGAGTTCTCTATGACTTAGTTGAGTATTTTACATAATGACATTTCATGTAGCCTTGGAAATCAATATTTGTCACAGAAACATTATTAGACCTGAATTACAGATTGCAAGTGAAATATGTTGCAAGTAAATACTGAGGTGTCGTCTCTAGGGTGGTTGGGTGGTCTTCATGACAGTAATTGTATTTTTTATTAACTTAAATTTGTTTATATTTTCATTGTCTGGCCCTGCATTTATGACCTACATCACTGATAAATTATAGATTAAAAAACATGAGTTAATACTAATCTCTAAACCAAGCATGCTTGCATGCATTAACGAAGTCTCAGGTTCGGTTATCGCGGATGCAATCTCAAAATTGGCTAAAACTGTCATAACTGTGCCCACAATGATTATTTGAATTAAAAATACGATTCTCAACAAATGTCTCACATAACAAACAATTCACACGATAATATTTGCATTTTGCCAATTTTGCAAAAGCTTTTTGACATGCATGAATGGTAAACCCACATGTTGCTATATCAACGTCAATGTTTTTTTTATATAATATGTCCATGTGTTGCAGAGGTTGTGTGGTCAGCTGGGAGCGAAAGGCAGTTCACATCTACCCAGTGACAGGAACAAAAGAGCGTTACAGCATGTATGACAGATTCCACGAGAAAAATTCCAACAACCCAGACGATGTGCTTCGACCCGCAGCTTCACGCAAATGTAAACAGCGAGTCGCACGAACAACTTCACAGTGTAATGAACAAAGACAACTATTTCCTCAACATGATGCAACCAGCTACACACGTATTCACGAAACAACTTCTTGTTCATCTACGAAACGAGAAAAAAAACAACGAGGAGATCGGTCGTCAAGAGCAGGCCCTACAAAAGCATGGATTAGTAGCACATACGACTGTTGATTCATTAGGAAGGATCATTCCAGTACCGTTAATAAAATTTTTATCGAATTCATATAATTATATGTAAACCGAAAAATGTCATTTTCTCTAATCATATACAACTATAAAAGAGGTACTATACCCACTGTTGCACTCTTTCTTTTAAAGGGACTAGAAAATCCACCGAAGAAAAATCGTTGCTTTGTAAACAGCTTATTGCAATGTCTGGCAAGTGGCATCGTGTATTCCAGTGAAATCCCCCAGCGGAAGCGACCTTTCGTGGTTGTTGTATTACTTAGCACGAATATACATCAAAGTCAGACAAGAAGATGTATCCCAGAAATTGGAGAGCCTTGCGTCTAAACTCGTGAATTCGAACAATCCCGATGATCCAGGTGATTTTCTTTATAGTCTTTTACGCTACACTTGGTCTGTAGGCAATGAGGCACTGCAGAGGTAATGTATAAAGTAATTAACATGTCGTTGAACAGATCTCGATCTGTATATATACAGGGTGAATAAAAAACTGATCACTGCATGTTCAAATACAAACTTGCCGCATATTTGGCGAATCGTTAATCGTGAATCTAAAAGCGAAATCTTGTCCGCGTTGAAAGTTAAAATGTATTCTAATTGTTCGAGATGATAAAACTGTTATCAACTGCGCCTGTTGGAAATTCATCTAATTAGGACAATTATTATAAGCATCAGTTTTTTATACTCACCCTATAAATTATTCAAAAAGGACAAAAGTGATATAGCATTATTATATACAATTGTTATATAGGTTCTGTGTATTTTAAATGTGATTGGTTCATTCGTAGTCACATGACTTTAAATAAATGCAAACTTGTTGCCCGCTTCTTGCCATAACGAAGTTAAGTGGGGTTTTTTAAAATTTTTTCGTTCCTATATAACAAAACACTTAATGTACACTATCTCGGGAAATACTGAGTTTTGTTTTCCCTCGAGTCTCAATGTTTCCCTCGACTTCGTCTCGAGAAACATTCAGACTCTTGGGAAAACAAATCTCACTATTTCCCTCGGGAGCATACATTAAGTGTATATTAATTTAGTATAATACCTATCTGTTGCTTGGCTCAATTATAAATGTTCCGATCTATTGATATCGCATGGCATCGATATAAATTATCCATACCATTAAAAATCCAGTGCCTGTCGTGGAGTTGAAAGGGTGCAGTTAGTATGCCGAGGTTGTGGAAAACATAACGAGCACCAGGATGTTGTCTTCACAGTTTTAAACCTGCCAAGTAGAGAAAAATGTCTTCAAACCGTGGAAAATATGCTGCTAAACTACTTCGAGCTGGAAGATAAGGAACTTAAATCTTCATTTTGGTACGGATATATAGTATAGCATTTCGTCGTTAATATAATATACGTTGTGATTATGCTTTAGTATATAAGATAGACTATTGAGACATGTTGATTAATTACAGTGTCTGTGAAGAAAAAGAGAAAGATATCGTAGAATTGCGACAGCCAATGAAACTACCATCAAGTCTAATTTGCAACATCCTCCCAGTAACAAAGAATGGGGAAAAACAGCATGTTCGCCTTAAGTTACAGGAATTAATTGGCGTTCACGACCTGTTGGGACGAAGACAGACAAACTTTCAGCTTTTATAGTAAGTATAAATGTATATGATTGTCGTTTTGATTTCTTCTTGACCAATTCAAACGATTTGAAAAGCGGGCTCGATTTCGTTTGTACGGGCTTCGCGTTGACGTGCTCAATTAAATGTCTCATGTAGACACACTATGGAATTGATGCAAAAGAGGGTCATTTCAACTGTACAGTTTTACGAAATAAAAGGTGGTTTCTAATCGACGACAAACTGGTCAAGCCACAACTGTTGTGCGAAACCATCTTCAACGGAGACGTATATAATCATGCTGTTTTACAGCACAGAAGGTTTGCTATAAAAACGTTTTGAAAAAACCTATAAGTATAAGTGTAAGATCAACTATATATAAACGTACGACAGTCGACAGACCATTCCGACAAACGTTTACATAACTGTCACAACCATATTAGATTTTTATTAATTATTATCCTTAAAGCGTGGTGTAAGCCTATAAAGTATAATCAACCCTTTACTTGTTACGCTCCTGAATGTTAGCAGTCTTCATTTTAATCCAAATTTGAAAAGATAGGAATGTCTTTCCTTATTTAGAACATTTTGAGGTTCAAATTATGACTGATGAAAGTACATCGATATCAGAGCAAGGTGCATATTTTTATATTTTAAACTTTTTGTTGGCGATTTGAATAGAACCAATATACTGGATACCAGGAACACGCCGATTTCACTTTAATGAACCGAAATAGGCTTTTCTGTTTGTTTAACCAAACCAAAATTTATTTCTCACTAAATACAGATTATTGGTTGCTTTTTGTTTTGGTTTTCATGCAACCAACTGAGTTTAAATATTATTCCACATGTCTTTGGCTTGAATGCGTTCCCCGTAGGCGCGTCTTGGCTTGAGCCGTTATATCTCATAAATAAAATTCTAAATGGACATCTGATCTCGAACCTATTAACTAACTTTTTAAGTGCTCTCCGAACCGATACTATACAGTACGATTACTTTAATCGGTAAAAAAACGTTACTTCTTGATAATTATATAACGCATTGTTAAGACCGAAAAACGGTAATAAATTTTTAATCAATGGATAAAACAATAGATTCGAAATATGTTTTAGACCAGATAAAGGCTAAAATGGAAGTAACGAGACCCCCGAGTCTACCTGAATGTGTACAGGACAGTACACTCACAGAAAAGGTTTTATTGAAACCATATCCTGCATGATCTTTGTTTGATTTACCAACGCTCTAAACGTTTTAGTATAAACAGTATATAAAATCCATTCATTCCTTGATGTAGGTTGAGAGGTATTCGGATTTGCGCAAGGGACATCAGCTACATCACATTGTACCACACATCAACGGAACCGTCGGAACGCCGTTAATGTATTACGACATCAAGCTGCTTGATCAAGCGCCTTCCGACTATGAAAAAACATTGCTTGAACAATACGCAACCAAACATGGAGAAACCTATAACGAAGGATGGCTAAATGATAAGGTTATCACTGGTGTAATTCATATAGTATTCCGAGAACCCACATAGCTACGCCTACAGTAACTCACATAATAAACATGTATTTTTCTATTGAAATTTAGATAATAAACAATTTTCTAATCGAGTACAAAGAAAATCTCAGGTAGGGGAAAGTAAACTACTGTGTGTACTGAAACTAGAATAACAACTGCAGATAGTGTTCTTAACAGTTTATTATATGAACAAGGGTAGTTTACTGGGAACTAAAAACACTAGTGGAACGCTCATACGCTCATGGAACGCCACTACATCCGGGACCAGGTGCGCGTATTTTTCGTATGTCACACTGAGGGGATTGAGGAATAACATTCAAAATATTTTTCGCTTAAATCCATATAATAAACAGAACATTATACGGTTCGCTTGAAGATATGGCACTCGTGTCAAAAACATTTCTCACTCGTTCGGTGCGCTCACTCATGAGATTGTTTTTGCTACTCAAAAATCCGTGTTATATCCTCTATATTGAAATAAGACCACTTGGTATTCCTTACTTTGTGCAGTATATATTAATCAGCTAAATATTTATCTTTACTAGGGTACCAATCGTGTAGCAGTCATGAGCAGCTTCATGTACACAAAACTATGCAAATATGGCGTCCATTCCATAACGAGATGGATTCAAAAAGGATGGATTCGTTTCTTCCACAAAAAAATTAGGTAGGCCTAGCTTATTCATGAAGCTACGTAGGCCTTCAATAGACAAATAAATGAAGTATTGAAAAAATGTTTTGACATTGATGTATTACTTAAAACACTCATTCAACTTATAGATTACTGATAGCACACCTTCAAGCAATATGTCTAGAAATGAGTCCACCAGATGTGAAATATTTTGATAACTCCACAAAATTTGAACCAAGACAACTTGATGGAAGTTCATGTGGGGTTTTTGTATGCATGGTAAGTGAAAAATACATTTGATATAAATTATTTAATATATTATAGTTATGTTTTTCCCATTGCTTCAATTACTAGCTGTAATGTCTAGTGGCATATTTTGTTGTTAGGTAGCTGGTTATATGGTCAATGGCTTGGATGTGAACTTTACACAGGTAATTATATCGAAGTACAATTTCTGGTAACTACATTATTTAAACCACAGAAAAACCCCTGCTGTATTTTAATATGTTTAAAGTTATGATAAATCATATTGCATTTTTTACCAGTAAAGGAAGACATACCATGTTTAAGAAAATACATGGAAATAACATGGCTGTTCGCCTAGCAAATCCTGAAAAAACCTCCAAATACCAATAAGGTCAGTTAAATGGATGTCACTTAAAATCTATTGTTGACATAATGGAATTTGTTGAGAACTATTCTCATTAACACATACTCTAAATTTTGGGTAGCAAGTAAAAGACAATTTATTTACCAGTACCAATTGCTTTTAGGAAACAAACTGAACATTACAATGAGGATGACCATGCCACATACACACTAAAACAAAGGTTACAAATATTCTGTCTCTATCAGATGATGGGTTAGAGTATGTCTTTAAAGAAGTATTAAAGGAAGGTGATAAAGGATTCTTAACAATTAGCTTGGTAATTTGTAAGCGATTTAGACAGATAGTGGGAAGAGACTCTTTTAGACACACCACTCACTTTGCCTGGTTAAACAGTGTGTGGGAATGGAATTCATCCATTTCATCATCAAAAGAATTCAAAGAGGAGAATTACAAAATGTATGAAATAAAAACTTGTTAAATTTCAATGTGGCATGTCATTTAAAGAAATGTATGGCTTTATTGGAAATGGTAAATTTGGCGAGTTCAGAAAATTTACTCAACTCTTGAATATCCAGGATTCTGCAGTAAAGATTGCATTAAAGAAAGCTAATTAATAAAGTTGGAAGTAATTACATCATGACTACATATGCCATAAACCTTTAAGAAAACATCATGTTTCATAATATCTGTTGAACATAAACATGCAGACTGATATTTTCATGGATAGCTGCCACTGTTAGACAGTCTTTGATGGTCATTGTATACATAATATACTGAAAACTCCACAAATTTATTAGAATTTTCATTCGCCTATGAAACATTTCAATTGGACATTGCGAAAGCCCAAGGGAAATTTTCATTTTCTTTGAAACTATCAATTTTCATTGTCTTTGAAAATATCAACTTAAAATTTGTTTGTAAATATATGCTTGTATTTAGTTGAACATTGTTGTCCATTTATATATTCACATCTACAGGGTGAGTAAAAAAAACTGACATCTTTGAAATTCAAATTAGCTGCAATGTGTCTGTAATTGGCTGTAATGCGACAGAAGTTGCCTAAAATATCTCATGGGTATACGAAGCATATCAAATAGGTGAACCCATTAATTAACCTAGAACATAAAGTTTGTTGCCTTTGGGAGTTAAAATGCATTCTAAGCTCTGTAATAAAAAAGAACGTTGAATTAGTTCAATTTTAAACACTTTCGCATTAATTAACCACGTCTTGTTGATTGTACACAATGGGAATTGTAAAATTCCAGCCATAAGTTCGCAGCTAATTTGAATTTCAAAGGTGTCAGTTTTTTTGACTCACCCTGTATATGATTCACATGTAAAATATTCACAATTATATAATTTTAATATATATATATTTTAGTTAATTTTACTTACACGATCTGCGCTGTATTTTCTCTTAGTAGTCTCAGACATTTTCTATTGGCAATGCTTAAACTCCTAATCCTTCCTTTGGCCAACTTGTCATATAAATCTCAATTTTTAAATATCTTTAAAATGGTCCGACATGTTGAATTAGAAAACAGATTTTTACTCAATAATGGCAGCATTTACATATTACTCCTCTATGTTGATAATCACTTCTCCATATATGGCCGGGGCTCTCTGCCTCTCTCGTGCGGGCCTTTTAATTTCCTGCCAAAGTCATGACCACTGACGTGCATATCGAACAATCGGACGAGCTTTCAATTCCTGTCAATCGTGTTTGTTTGCTTGGCTGCGCATTTGTTGTGTGTATATCTCTGTGGGGTTTAAGCCATTGAAACGAATTATCGCTTTCGAAGTTTTAATCAGGTACGTTTGATTATAAATGGTTTCATATCATCAACACTTACAAAGTAAATGTATAGACACGGTCGATTGTATGTGTATCTTGATACGGAAGCCGCAACAGCCGAGTGTGGCGTTGATTCTTTGTGCCTTTATTCAACTGGTCACCAATCTTTAAATGAATTCGTTTAAAAAATATACAGTATACGAAAAATTTAGGACTATCAGTCTATTATCTAAGTGGCTTGCCATTATTCCACAGCGCTATGATCGCGTTGTTATCTCGTGTGATACTGAAAATAAATTCCTCGCCTTATTTAAACGATTGCTACTATTCTATTCTACAATTCTAAGATATTTCAGGTTATCGCTTTTCATTATATTTATAGTGGAAATTAAATGTGAAGTACGCACCACATTCAACACGATATTCAAAAACATCGTATGACTCATTTCCATCATTCAAACGTTCGAAATTCAAATATTTTTCAAAACCCTTTCCAATACTTTACAACGGATATATATACAACACAGAGAGAGAGCGCACGTGTCAATCCAGCATGTAGGCAGCAGGCCGGTAAACCAAGCAGAGCGAAACATGATAAGGTTGTGAATAAAACTAAATATGTATGCTATATTTACAACAATATATTAGATAGATTAATTTAAGGAAAGAAAGACCCGACATTTAAAATATAGAGAGATTAAGTGAACATTTGTAGTTCTTTGCTGGCTTTAAGTCATGCAAGTGTTATAAGGAAAGGTTTGTTGTGTTTGATTAAGAGTGCTTCGAGAAAGGCGAGAATATGATAGTTACTCGATTTAGTTATGTAAAGAATTCTATAGTTATTGAAAACTAAGTTCTCAATAGAAGAAGGGTTATTCAAAGATAATGGCATATCGTTGAGTAGTGAGAACTGGTTTTGTAGTGTAGCTAAGAATTGAGCGTGCTCACACTCAGAGAAATGTTGGCCTACTGCACTAGAAGAGAGCCTAGTAGAATGCTCTTTCAAACGTACAGAAAGGCACCTTTGCGTCATGGCAATATAGGTTTTCCCGCAGCCAGGGCAAGCGACTTCGTATACTGAATTGCTACGAGATAAAGGAGGAAGTTTGTCTTTGTAGGAAACAAAATAAGACAACCTTTTAGACTTAGTGTCGTAAATAGTGACGAATTTCACCGGTTTGGAAAGAAATCTTTGTATTTTATTGAGACAGGATTTAAGCAGAAAACCGCCCTGATTTCCGAGATAAGGTATACGGATCCAGATTTTGGGCAATAGATTATCAACCGCTTCATGAATAACCGTATTGACAACGGGAGTGGAATTTGGAAAATACTTAGTTTTGAGTTTATTTAGCGTAGAGTATATAACATTATTCGGATAACCATTCCAAGACATGAGGGATTTGATCATTTTAATTTGACTATTGAAAAGCTTTTCCGAACTACAAATTTTAAAAGCACGGTGGTAAACGGATTTCACCCAAGCTGTTTTGCGGTAGAATGGCTCGAAACTAGAGAAATGCGAGTACTGACCAGTTTGAGTGTCTTTACGATAAACGTCAGTACCATCGACCGTGGTTTTATATCTAAAAAATGTGCGATGCCATCGGGAAAAGTGCCAACTGTGAGATTAAGGTTAGGATCGAAACTATTAAACTTTGTTACAACACTGGAAATATCGGAAGGCTTAACTAAGATTGTGTTTTAACAAAGCCTAATAGTTTCCGGGGCGGTTTTCTGCTTAAATCCTGTCTCAATAAAATACAAAGATTTCTTTCCAAACCGGTGGAATTCGTCACTATTTACGACACTAAAAGGTTGTCTTTTTTTGTTTCCAACAAAGACAAACTTCCCCCTTTATCTCGTAGCAATTTAGTATACGAAGACGCTTCATTGGTATGACGCAAAGGTGCCTTTCTGTACGTTTGAAAGAGCATTCTACTAGGCTCTCTTCTAGTGCAGTAGGCCAACATTTCTCTGAGGCATGAGCACGCTCAATTCTTAGCCACACTACAAAACCAGTTCTCACCACTCAACGATATACCATTATCTTTGAATAACCCTTCTCCTATTGAGCACTTAGTTTTCAATAACTATAGAATTCTTCACATAACTAAATCGAGTAACTATCATATTCTCGCCTTTCTTGAAGCACTCTTAAAGTGCCCATGTCATAAAATTGAAATTTAGATTTTTAGAATCTTTGTTTGAAATGAGTTAGTAAGTTCTAAATCAAAGCTGAAACTGGACTTTTATATTCGAGTTATTGCCATCAATATTGCCATCCAAACATTGATTTTATTGGAATGAAAACTCTGAAAACCGCGCAAATGAGGCTAGTGCGAAACAAGGTGTTTGACGTCACAATAGGAACTCGTTCGACGCGACAACTTGGTAACTCTATTGCATGGAGTAATAAGTAGAAGCTAACCTCGCAAAAAAGTGGTTGTTCTTAGTTAACAGACAATTCTGTATAAAGTGACTCATATATTATCAAAATGTGTTGTGAATTGGCTTTAATAATTGTACATTCCTGGCAACAGTCGTGCAATAATTGGAAGTACGCCATGAGTCATGACCAATTGAGTCAATGTGTTGTAAACACGAAGGCAGTGTTTAAGTTAA